ATGCACAGCAATAATAATAATTAATATCATAATCCCATATAGTTTTATTTTTAAAATCTAAAATTATTACAAATTCTAAAAACAACAATCGATTTACACTCTTACAGTCTTACCTATTCATCATTGATCTCAGACTTCTGTCAACTTGGCTTGCGACAGTCGTGTATCACAATTCGCAGTAAACTATTCTGTATTTTGTTAATATTTAGTTCAGTAACCGCTTATTCTACCTATAGGTACTAATTATATTCGTGACGTGCGTTCTCATTATTCTTTTGATATGGATAAAACATTTCTTAAAAAAAAAGTAATGGGTGGTGCGGCTAAAAACCGTTATGCAAAAAAAATAAAACTACAGCAAGTCGCCCAAGAATCAAAAACAATTTCTGAATTGTTTAATAAACAAACAAAACCTGAACCAGTAAGCAAGCAATAATAAATTTTAAAAATTAGTATAACTTAAGATAATATTAATTTCTAAATTCGATTTTATATCTTTTAGATTGATGCACAATTAATACAACAACCTGCAGTTGTATTACAGTTGGACAAATTAATCGAAGAACAAGAATATTCAGTTGATTATCCTGTAAATGATTATTTTTTTATATAGACTGAAATTATAATGTTAAATAATAAGTATATTTATAAATATAATGTATATAATATGTTTTAGGATGATCACGATAGATCTGTTAGTTTGAATATTGAACAACCAGATCCATTTACAAATGAAGATGATAGAATGGACAATATGGTATGACATTTTTTTAAAGTTTAGTAAAAACAAAATTATTGAAAATATCAATCTATAAACAAATTTTTAACTTTCTCATTATTTCAGGATGTTGTGCCAAGATCAGCAGTTGATGTTTCTATTCCTACAATTGAAAAACAACACTTGTGTGATCTAGTAAGTACCAAACAAATATACAATAACTTGTACTATATTATTGTACATTTGTACTTGTATTATTTCTTATTTATTCACTTGTATTTAATCACTTACTAATAATATCTTTTTTTTCGCTTTGTTTAGTGTATAATCAATTTTTACAGATTTAACGACTAAAAAATCGTTAAAATATATATTTTAAATAAAAAAATTCGTTGGTCGATTTATACAGAGTATAATGGCCGTAGACCTGCAGTATAAACGCTGCACGGATATTATAATATGTTTCAAGAAATATTCAAGCCATCAAGCACTAAAGGCGACGAATGACTGCGGAATAAATTATAAAATAAAGCATTAAGGTCACTGCAGCGGTGGCGGTGAATTGCTGTAGGACACATTGCGGCGGTGAAGCCAAGACAATAGAATTTAACGCCACCGCCACCGCTGCAGTGTGTGGGGACCTTTACACTGACGGATATGACATGGACGGTTATATTATAAACCATACAAGAATTGTAAATAATAATATGTATTGTGTAGAACGCTTGAACGTTAATATAGTCAAATTGACTCAAATAGTTGATACAAAATAATATTTAAAAAAATTCAAAATTGTATTTTACATAGGTAAAATAATAATATAATACTGCATGTCGAAAAAGGTGGGCAAGTGGGTGTCGCTCTGCTGTATAGTAGGTTACAAGTGGGTCACTGTATAATGGATGATATTAAATTTGAATTCAACGATATAATATCATTGTATAAGAAAAACAATTCTGAGCGGAGACGGTATGTCAGTCTAGATATAAGACATATTATATACATATCTATGATATTAAACAAAAATTTGATCTATAATAGGTACCTATAATAAATTCCAAATTAATCATATCATAATATCCATTAGGTACTTATAACGCGTTATACAACAACAAAAACCGTGATACTATCATAGATATATAAATATAATAGTACACTTTAGAAGTTTCAAGTACCCACGAATAATTATATTATTAAATCACAACAAAATAACTAAAATAGTTATTCTAGGTTTTTTAATATGTAATTTCGTTCAAATTTGAATTTAAAATGTCTGTAAAAAATAACTGTGTTCATATATTTTTTAGATTTTTCGGTTACAGTAAGACCTATTTATGAGAACCTTTGTTTTAAATTTGCAATCCTTAGCTATAAAAACTGAACATTTTATAATTTATTAATTACAATGATTGATAATTTTCGAGATTTTGATACATTTTGTCAAAATTCCAACTTTAAATGCTTATAAAAAAAATTGTGCCTATGTATTTTCAATGTTTTTGAACTGATATTGTAACAATATATCAGGAGCATTGTATTAAATTTTTACAGTTTTCGGCCCAACAGATAAAACTTAATTGATATTTATAGAAAAAAAAAATTGAAAACTGAAAATGTCCGTAAACAGCTCAACAAATATTTTCCAAATGTTATGGTGTATAGAAAATGCTAATTTAAACATTCAGTCAAATTTTCATGTATCTACAGTTGTTCGTTTTTGAATTACAACAAAATAAGGAAATCACTACATGAGAAATCGAGTGAATATCCAATGTTGTAAAAATTTGAATTTCAAACGTTCATAAAAATTTAATTTGACTTTCTTATAGACATTTTTTTTTTTTGATAAAGGTAGATAATCTTATAAGGAATCTTGTATTAAATTTTCAAATCTAAGATTTAAAAAGAAAAATTTTTACGAATTCTTAACTCAAAATAATTTGCTAATTTTCCATATTTGGTCAATTTTTGAACTTTAAATGCTTATAAAAAAAAATTGTGACTAAGGATTTTTAATATTTTTCACCTGCCTTTGAAACAATATACTAGGAGCCTTCTATTAATTTTTCAAGCTCTCGCAACCAACAAATAAAATTTTATTGATATTTTTAAAAAAAAAACTAAAAAAAAAATGGAAAATGAAAATGTCCCTAAACAGTTCAAAATAAATCAAAATATTTTGAAAATGTTGTTTTTCCCGGTGCTTGTGAAATTTTTAAGAAATTTTTACTTTTGACCCCCCCTAAGTACCAACTAGATTCACTTTCCTATCAGAAAAGCTACTGTTGAAGAAAATCCAAGCACTTTTACTGTCCTAAAACGTGATGACAGACACAAAAAAAAATTAAAAAATTAAAAAAAAAAAAACACACATCATTGTAAAATCAATACATTCATCGTTTCACTCAGAATCTAAAACAAAGTTTGGAAATTTCAATATTTGATAAACGTATACGTTGATCTTATCAGTAGCTATACATACATAAACCTTAATAGCACTGCATGTTTTCTTTTTATCAAAATGATAAAAAAATAAATAAATTATAAATGTTCAAAACATTTTTTTCTGAGTACCTTAATATTAAAATTAAAAATAAATACAAATTTTTTCTCACAATTTACGAAATATTCCAAAACATGCTAAATGGGTTAAATATTCTCTAACCCATGAAATATTCTCAAACATGCAAAAAAAACTTTTTTCTACGCATTCAGAATTGAACGAATCGTCCACATTTTTTACTCTCATAAGACTGCTTAGACCCAGTTACGATATGTAAATACATATAAATCCGGTCTTTAAGTCAAAAAACAAACCATATAATATACTCTATTATTGTTGTTATACTCTAGATATAATTAATTTAATAACATCTATAACTTAAAAGTTAAAACCTTCACTATATCAGTTATATCTTTGGATGTATACAGCGTGATCCTTCAATACACAGAATGATTGAAAAATATAAAATTATTTTCATCACTAATAGTAATTATTGAATTTATTTTTGAAATAAAAATTATTAAGAGCAGTACCATCAGTATTTATATTTTATTTACTTCTACTCTTTAAATAATAGTAAAATTAAATAATAATAAGATTAATTATTATTAAATATTATTTATATATAGATTGCAGAGCGCTGGTCGCCGGTATTGACGCATAGTCGACCGGACGTATTTTAAATAATTGCTCAACGTCATACAGACTAAAGTACCTTTTCCCTGCAGCGTCCAGACCCCACGTCAGACGCATTGTTACTATAAATACTATAAATACATTTATTTTATATTCGGCCGTTTTCTTACCTGCGTTCAACGTAACGAATCGATAAATAACGCAGTGCGTGCGGACGCAGTACTAGTGAGCACTAGTGTCGCGTTCAGACGTCCTGAGTCAAAAGATTAATTATGTCCAAAAAATTTGTTTTTACTTCAACTGAGGATGAGATTTTAACTGAATATGTACAACAAATAAGAGAAATTTTTGACAGTGCTCACTGCTCACCCTAAGTATAGACGTTAATTTTAAAGAAAAAATTTGGAAAACAATTTCTGAATAAGGTGCTAGAACAGGTACGTATGAAATATAATAATACTAATTTAATTAATTGAATATATATATACACAAGATATTTATTTATTAGATTCACTAAAAACATATTAAATGTATATTATTTAATGTAATTACTTAACTTTTATTGACAATTATCAAATGTAAATGTAATAAGGTTATTATATACTTTTAAATTATGGAATTTTAATAATTATTTATTAATTATTTAATAGTTATTTTTTTTTTATAGATGAAGACTGCAAAAAAAGTTGGAGGAACATTAGAGATACATACATGAAACAGAGAAAAAAAAACTGTCGACTGGGTCGGCTACTTCTGAAAAAATGAATAGGACACTGTCATGCTTATCGTTCATGGATTCAGTTGAATACGAAAGAAGGTACCTAATGAAAATATAAATTGTTTAGTTATTAATTATGTACTGAAAATAAAGTTTATAAATTGTAGGAGTAAATCAAACGTCAAAAATCAAGAAAATGATAATTCTTTGTCAACTGCTGAAGACGAAGATGAAACACGAAACGAAACGGTAAACGACAAGGATACATTTGAATCTCCAAATACATAGTCAGATTTACCATCAATGTTATCATACGCAGAGAAACAGATTAGGTCCAAAGAGAATAAAATTGGTGCAATATTGTTAAAAAGATCAATATTGTTTAAAAGTTTAATTTAGTTTATTTTTAAATTTTTTAAAACATTTTATTTAAATGTATTGGGTCTCTTTCCAAAAAATAATGGTGTTGTATCCATTTTCTTTTTCTGCTGTTTCTTCTCATCTTTACCATCAACCTAAACAATAAGAAAATGAAGAATAAGAGAAAATAAAAATTGTAGAAGTAAAATATTGTTGTGAACAGAATGTTATTATGTTATTATCCATGAATAATAATTATTAAGTTATTAATTAATATTAACCCTGACGTGTTGATGTTATGTATTTGTTCAACAGACACGCAACATAGGAATTCAGATGTGTTCTATTACTACCATACCGATTTATTAATAAATCAATAAGAATACAGTCTTGAACTTGTCCTCAAGTCTATTAGAGATCAACCTTCCCATATTTTTGATTTATCTCCCTAAATTCTCAAAAACTTTTATTTAATAAGTAGAATTAAATAATTGGCATATTTCCATTTTTAGACAAAAACACCAACAATGTGGGTAAGTAGATCTCCAGTAGACTATACAACAATTTTAATCTGTTAGCAGAATTCTTATCACTTCACTAGATCAATAGATACATTATTAAAATATTATCTAAATTCCCATGTAAGTTACAAATAAACAGAACATTTTCACCTCATAAGTTATAATATTATAATATATATATATAATATACAAGCCAAATTCCACTCACTCACTCATTGAACGTTACATCTCAAAAACTACAAAACATACAAACTTGAAATTTGGAACAGTGGTTTCTCTAGTGATCTAAATGTGCAATAAGAAGAGATTTTTCAATATTTGCATTTTAAAGAGGTGGTAAACTTTTTTTTTTTGTAATAAATGGTTGTCATTAGTTACTTGGGCAGATCAGGTACAAGCATGCATCAAAATATGATCACGTTTATGGCCTCGAATAAAGAAACTATATCTTTAAGCCAAATGTATGTATGTAACTTATATACTCAAAAACTACTCAATTAAATTCGAAGAAAATCGCAAAGGTTGTTTATAGAGATATCAGAAAAATTTAGAGAGGAAGTAGTTAAAAAATTAAAAATATACCAAGAGCTAAATCCAATCCACGACATGTGGTTGCTCATCTAGGTAAAATTATTTCACAAAGCTACGCATACTGACACCCATTTGAACTGAGGTATACTAAAACTAAGATCCACTCAAAACAAGATATACCTTTATAGCGTATAAACTATATAAGATTTTCCACAAAAAAAAAATGCACACAAGGTACCTAAGCCAGGATATTCAGCTAGTATGATAAAATATAAATATTATTTCTGTAAGGTTAAATAGATTAAAAAAATAAAACATTAAAACACATCTAAACATTAGTTGTATAGTATTATAGTATTATCTGTTATTATCAATTGCAATTGTTAATAAAGGGGGTTCACATTACACCTTGTAGTGTAAAATAATCAAGGTTAGGTACCACAGTTACCAAACGATACCTCATAGTTGAATATATTACACGACACGGTGTAGTGTGAACCCCCCTTATGGTTTTAAAAAACTATACTAATTGTATATCTGAAGTGTAATAATCCAAATAAATATTATAATAAATCAATGAAGGTTAATAAGAAAAACAAAACCACTAGGAAATATTTTGTTACAATTTCAAGTTTCAATGTAAAAGTAAATATTTTGTTAGTACACTAATATATTGTATATTTACGTTATTAATATAATTTTCATGTAAATTGATACGATGTTGTTTACGTTCTGATCTTGTTATGTTATGAGTTGCTTTCATTGAAGTGGTTTTTGTTTTGATGGTCTTTAAAACTTCAGGTGCTTGTTCCAACTAAAAAAAATAATATATACCTGTTTTAATTAGGTTAATTTTATATAATTATAGAAGAGGTAGATGAGGTGGTATTCTTATACCTAATATAGATTTGACTTTGACAAAACCTATAGCCAAAGACGATACCACCAACAAGAACATAATAATCTAATTCGAGAAGACACTGAATAATGTTTTAAGTGGACGTCGTACCCGCATGTGTTGTCTCCGTTTTACTAATACATAATATATCAAAATGTATGTCTAGTAGTACCAATTCTGTGTTGTTAGCTTAAATATTAGAGTGAATTGATCTATTATCAAATTTAAATGTAAGAACATAATCTTTGTTCTGTCGTTGGTTTTTTACGATATTTAAATTTTTGAGTGAGTTATGAGTATCTAAAATATTAATATTTGAAAATACTCATAATTCACTATAAAATTGAAATATCGTAAAAAAACCAACGAGAGACACACATAAAGTTCTGTATTAATTTAAAACAGATAACAGATCAATTCACTCTAATATAAAAGCTAACAACACAAAATTGGAACTACTAGACATATATTTTGGTATATTATGCGTAAGTAAGGCCGAGACAACATATTTATTGAAGTGAAAACTTCTTAAGGCACGTTGGGCACCCCGTATAAGAAAGCATTTGCGAGTGACGAAAAAAGTATGATCTCGCGACACCGCCACCGCCACCGCGAGTATATATATGTACCGTGGTAGATACATTAGTGTATCAAAGCTGCGCGCGCAGCAGACGGCAGTTACGGGAAAACAACAACGCCCGCGGCCCACCTGCGTTAGTATATAAGTAGTTCACGCAGTGTAAGCACGTGCTTTTATGCATACTGTTAATATTCTTCAATATAAAAATAGTTTATCCAATTTGGGTAGCCGCAAGCATTGTGCCGTATCATAGCGCGTGCATGTGCAGGAGAGCATAAACACATCAAAACATTTTTAAAAACGAAGTGAAATTGTTCTAGTATATATACACATACACGCTCACACATAAGTACCTATAACAGTATATACCACAGTATATATGTATACATGTACTCTTCTAGTTTTCACTTCTACCGGCAGTCCCCCGTTTATTTATTTATTTTATAATATATCAAGAGCTTTCACCCAAATTACAACGTCCTCTTAAGGGGCCTCACTACCAAGTCTTTTTTTGTCAAAAACTACTGTTTCTAATTCCAACGATACGTGTCGACAATTATCACGATTTTCATTCTGAAAAGATATTCTGATTGTCCGTAATATATACAAGGGAACGATCGAGCCACATTTTTAATTTTTGTAATTTAAATTGCAATAAAAATTGTAAAAAAATCAAAAAAAAATACAGAATTTCCAACTTAAATATTTAATTAACTAAATACAATTTTAAAAATGTGCCTCGATCGATCCCTCGTACATGTTGTGGAAAATAAGAATATTTTGTCAGAATGAAAATTGAGGTAATCGTTGCGACGTACTGTTGGAATTAGAATCGTATGTTTAAGTGAAAAATAAGCATTTTTTCATGATCACAATATTATTATATATTGACATGTGTGTGCGAGTGCGTGCGAAAGCTACAATTGACCCGCATGGACGCCACACACACTAATAATCATTTACGACTAACACATAGATCTCAGGTGGCGACGACGAGATTAGAAATTGCCTAAATGATTCTCCTTAAATCAATGCCATTGCGAGGCCCCTTAATGCCAAAAAATAAAATAATAAATATTATACAGGGTGATTTCCCAAGCATGCTAAACCCAATTCGCCTTTAATAATGAATTTATTAAAATTCTGATTTTCGGAATTCTTAAATATACTCAAAGACCATAATTTAAAATTCTTGAAATTTTTGTCTTATTAAAGGAGTGTTCTGTGGCAATCCAAACTTCTGTTTTTCAAATGAGAACCACCATTTGTTTCTGTAAATAATTTAGTACATAATTTTTTTGATAATGTATGTGTACAAAATTCACATGAGTAGTTTCTAAGTTATCAAAAGGTTTGTACTAAGGATAATGGTCCTTAAAAATGGTTTTACTAAAAAATAAAGTAGATGTAAAATTGTATCCATACTATGTCCAGCGAGAGTTCTGCGCATGTAGGTTGACGACCGAACAATTGCCGAGGTCTTGTTTCTCCCTCTCGGGGTGTTCTCAACAAGATGTCCCCGTAATGAAACCGTCAGAGGGTTGTTGAACAGGTATGCCCGAAACTAGACTGATTTTGGTAGGGCTATGGATTATTCTCTCGCTAAATAGAGTATAGTATTTATTATACTTAGGCCTTTTTTTTTACAAATTATTAATTTTGAAAGATTAATGTTAATGACTAAAATGTTGAAATACTATTGCCTCCATTTTTTATAAACCCACTACTATGGAGCTTTTATCCTTAGAACACAGCTAAATAACTTAAAAACTACTAGTACAAATTTTGATTCTGATGCATACAAAATTTCAAAACAATTATCTTTTGTATAATTTACAGTTGAAAAGGGATGCTCTCATTTGAAAAAGAGAAGTTTGTATCTCCACAGAACCACTCCTTAAGTAGTACAAAAAGTTTCAAGAGTTTGAAAATATGGTCTTTACATATATTTAAAAATTTTAAACATCAGATTTTCAATATCTGCATTATTGAAGAAAAAAGGGGCAAGCTTGGTGAATTACCCTATATAACAATTTGTTTGGCTACCTATCGCTCAACCACTCTTTTGTTCATGGACATACCATGGGGCATGAAAATATACTTACACAATCCCAAGATTCTTCATACTTTATTGTTGGTATATTTTCTACATTAAAATCTGGACGCGTCATGTCTTCTGCCTTATAAATGGCTACATCAATAGATTTTCTGTCAGGGCAATTTTCTTCATGATTCTAAAATTAACATCAAATTTGTATGAGTACCTATTACAAACAATTAAAAAAATCTATGTATATCTTGACTATAATAATATTATATTACCTTCAAATCTGTTTTAGGCATTACATGTGTTATATTGTAAAAACATTGTCCAAAATGAGGTGATTTATCCGGGCATATATTCAAATGGCTGGTTAATGTATTTTTTAGCATTGAATGAGCTGCATTATATGGACAATGAATTTTATGGGTGTCCCGTGCCAAATGTCTACAGAAAATATAAAAATAATGAAAACAATTTGTTAAAAAAAATTTAATCTTAATAATTGGGTATCATCAAAAAGATAAAAATTGAATTTGATAATTCAAACACCATGGGTAGTATTTTATGGGGCTGTCTGTAAAGACTTTGGCCTGTAACACAAGACACTTTATTTTAGCCTACAATCTTTACAATATGGAAATAAATTATAGAATTTGTTATAAATATTGACATTTCATTGGACTAAAGGTATTTTTAAAGTTTTAATATTTTGTTATTCATCAATATAAACACAAATATTTTTATTTGTAAATTCAAAAAAGTAAAAAGAAAGATAGTAAACACATTTAAGTAATTACTGGGTAAGTTCTATAACTGGGAATGAATGTTCTGCTTTAATTATTATGATAATACATTAACCAAAAGAGCTTATTTTGAATACTAGAGAATAAATGGTTTGAAATAATAAATTGTGTTATTAATGGCCTGAAAAATAGATTTTTGCAGAAAGTCTGAGAATTGGTGTAGGTGTTGACAATTTAATTTAATTAAAATATGAAGAAAATATTGAGTTTATTAAAAGCATAAAGTACCCATGAATTTTAAAATTATATGAGAATTTAAAACAAATTCTGATTACCTACTACTTTTTTGAACTAATTTTAATTTTCTAAAAAATATTAAACATAAGTGTAGAATACCTAAGGGACTATAATGCTGGGTCATAAAAGCTTTGAAATTTATGAGACCACAACCTATTGTCAAAACAATATTTTTGTTCAAATTTTTATTTTAAATTTTTGACCGCGGTATTGACTATAAGTCATAAGTCATAACTTTTACATTCTTCTTCATGTGAACGATCATTTACAGTAGAGGCACAACGACCAGTTATGTGTTCGTAAAATTATCAATATACCATATTGAAGGAGATATAATAAATTGATTAGTTACAAAAGATTCAGAAAATGTATTATATTTTTGCTGAAAAATACATACGTCCAAATTTAATAAATTATAAAATTGACAATGAGTAAAATACAAATTGTTTTTTCAAGAAAATGTTCACTTTTACAATTTCAATTAAATCAAGTTTAGTATTTCATAGTATTTCAAAATTTCTTCTTGCTACTATTTTACTTTTGTAGACCTTTTTTAAATGAAAAATAGAGCTGTTGACAACCATACAAAATATGAACATGTGAAACCTGCATGTACCTAACACAAAATTGGTTTGAATCAAAGCAAATTTGCTATGTTGTATGTTCGTAAGATGGAGATAGCATAAGTAAGGCGTCCTCTTAATATAATGGTGCTGTTACATAGCTAATAGCTATGATACCTACCTACCTGCTATCTACAATAACGGTTACGTAATTATGATGTATTATCGCGTGTATCGCTATCGGTATTTTAGACACAATAAAATCAGTATGCTTTTGGCACTCGAGTTCAGTACACATATTTTCACCTACACTCCTTATGAGATGCAACATGGCGCAGTCTAATAGGATTTTAAAAATTGTGTATTGTGTATTTGAATTTTGAATTTTTGTTGAACCATGGAGTATAATAAGCCAGATGCGTTGGTTTTGACGGGTAATTTGGCAGAAAATTGGCGCGTTTTTCGTGAAGCGTTCGAGATTTACATTGAGGCGGCTGGTCTAACGTCAGCGTCTAATAAACGTCAGGTGGCCATTTTTCTTAACCTTGTTGGTAAAGAGGGCCTAGAGAGGTATAACACCCTCAAATTTGAAAACGCCGAAGACAATAAGAAAATTGAGCAAGTGCTTAACGCGTTTCAAGATTATTGCAAACCAAAAAAAAATATTTTACACTCCAGGTATATATTTTATAAACGGTCTCAAAAAGAAAATGAATCGATTGAGGAGTTTCTGTCAGCGTGTCGTGGTTTGATCAAAGATTGTGAATTTAAATCTCATGAAGAAATTTTACGTGACAAAATTGTTCTTGACACGAGAGATGGTGAAACTCGCGACAAGTTAATTAAACAAGCTGATGTTACTCTTGAAACTGCAATAGATACCCTTCGTATTGCTGAAATCCAACGAAGAGAACTCAATCAAATGAAGGAGATTGGTGAAAAACAGAATGAAGTAAATGCAGTTCATTCAAAAGTACGTGGTGGTAAGCGAACAAATCAAGCTCAACATCACTACACTCAGAACAACGGTAACAATGGACACCGTGGTCAATGTCAAACAAATCAACGACAGGCAAAAGGATATAACCAACAGGAGGAGTCACAACAGGTTGTCAAAAATAAAGGTAACTTTTCTGTAAATAATAAAAAAACGAATAATAATTGTAATCGGTCTGATAAATTATGCAAATATTGTAATTTTATGCACGGTAAAGGCAAATGCCCTGCGTATGGTAAAAAATGTTTAAAATGTAACAAATTTAATCATTTTCAAAATGTTTGTAAATCTGAGATTGCATTTGTTGAAAACGTTGATGGGCTGAGTATTGATAATTATTTTTGTTCTACGGTATATACAATGAATACTTTTGCTGTTTCCTGGTCTGAGACTATTCTCGTTGAAAATAAAAGTATTAATTTTAAGCTAGATACTGGCTCTGATGTTAATCTACTGACTTTAAATGATTTTAACTTAATTAAAAATAATTGTTCTTTTAAAAATTTAGTAGTTAACAGACGACCGATAAATTTACAGGCATATGGCGGTAGTAATATTAATACATACTTTACAGTTGATTTAAAAGTAAAATTAAGAGAAAAAGAATATATTTTAAATTTTGTAATTGTTGAAAATCATTGCAAGCCGATTTTAGGTCTACATAGCTGTATACAGTTAGGGCTAATAAATAAAGTAGAAAATGTTGATAAGATATTAAGTCTTAATGATGTACTTCAGAACTATTGCACGGTTTTTACAGGTCTTGGTAACTTTCCTGACGAATATAGCATACAATTAAAGCCCAATGCAATACCTGTTACAAATGTTCCACATAGAGTTCCTATTAATATCCAAGATAAGCTGAAATGTGAACTAGATCGATTAGTCTCAGAAAAAATAATTAGAGAAATAAATGAGCCGACCGAGTGGGTAAACAGATTAGTAATTGTTGAAAAGAAAAATGGAAGTATGAGATTATGTCTAGATCCACGCGATCTAAATGAAAATATAATTCATGAATATTGTGTAATACCTACGTTATCAGATTTATCGTCAAAACTGAAAAATGCAAGGGTTTTTTCTGTTTTTGATTTGAAAGATGGTTTTTGGCAAATAAAATTAGATTTAGAAAGTTCTAAATTATGCACGTTTGGTACTATGTTTGGTACTTTTTGTTTCAATAGACTTCCCTTTGGAATAAATAATGCAGCTGAAATATGTCAAAAATGGAATATGAAAGTGTTCGGAGGTATTGAAAATGTGTTCATATATCTTGATGATATTTTAGTTTTTGGTGACACTGAGGCTCAACATGATTGTGCATTAAAACAGGTTTTAGATTTGGCTATGAAAAATAATATTAAATTTAATAAAAACAAAATTCAATATAAGGTAGATAAAGTTAATTACCTTGGCCATACATTTTCATATGAAGGCATGAAACCAGATAGTGATCGTATTAAATCTATTTTCGAGTACGAAGTACCAAAAACTATAAAATATTTGCAAAGGTTTTTAGGTATGGTTAATTATGTCGGAAATTTTATTCCTAACCTGGCAATGTTGACTAAGCCACTAAGAGATCTTCTTAAAAAAAATAATGAGTTTGTATGGACATCAATACATAATGAGTCTGTAAATAAACTTAAAACATTAATTGCTAGTCCCTCCGTACTTAGAAACTATGATAACACAAAAGACGTGATCATACAGACTGATAGTAGTAAGTTTGCCATTGGATGTGTTTTGTTACAAGAAGGCAGACCAGTTTGTTTTAAATCGAAAAGCTTATCTGAAACCGAAATTAACTACGGACAGGTTGATAAGGAATTTCTGTCAGTCTTATTTGCCTGTAAGGTATTTCATCATTATATTTATGGTAGGTAGGCACGTGACAGTTCAAACCGATCACCTTCCTTTAATTTCGCTAATGAAAAAGAACATAAATGACATTCCGTCTAAAAGGCTTCAATGCATTAAGGTCAAATTATCACGATATGATATTAATCTTATCCATGTACCGGGAAAAAAAATGTTTATCGCAGATGCATTAAGTCGTGCGTGTATATCGTCTCGAGATAACGACGACGTTGATATCGATGTTTCCGATGTAGTTCATTCAATTAATATGTCTACAAATATTCGAAATGAGTTTGTACAAGAAACAATTAAAGATGATTTATTAAAACAATTAGTATATGTGTGCAAGAATGGCTGGCCTAAGCATAACAATAAAGTCTCACGTGAGCTTAAACCATACTTTAATATGCGTTACCAAATATCATTTGAAGACGATTTACTTTTTCTTAATAATCGTGTGTTTGTCCCTATGAAGTTACAGAATAAAATTGTATTTAAACTACACGAAACTCATCTTGGAATTTGTAAGACTAAAACGAGAGCACGTTCCTTATTTTATTGGAAAGGTTTAGATAAAGATATCGAGGAATATATTGGTAATTGTGCAGTATGTAATAAGTTTAGGAGTGAGAATATTAAAGACCCTATGATTTGTCAAGAAGTTCCTAATCTACCTTTTGAGAAAGTTGCGTGTGATATTTTGGATTATGGGAAAGATACTTACCTAGTATTAGTTGATTACTATTCTGGTTGGCTTGAGTTAAATTATTTATCTTCTAAAACTTCAAGTCATATAATTAAAATACTAAAAGTTATTTTTTCGATACATGGGATTCCAAAGCAACTCGTGGCAGATAATATGCCATTTAATTCTAATGAATTTCAGAATTTTGCGACTGATTGGGAATTTGTTATAACTACGTCAAGCCCTAGATACCCAAAATCTAACGGACTTGCGGAGAAAGGTGTAAGTATTGCGAAATCAATACTTAAAAGATCGGATGAAGGTAAAGTTGATAAACAATTAATGTTGTTAGAATATCGAAACAGTGCTATCATTGGCTCTAAGTTTTCCCCAGCACAACTTTTAATGAGTCGCACTTTAAGATCGAAAATTCCAATCTTAAACAATGCTCTACAGCCTACGTTAGTAAATAATTTTAAATTAATACGTGAAAATAAAAATGTGAAAACAAAACTATATTATGATAAAAATGCCAAAGTTAAAAATAATAATAAGTTTCAACCGGGCCAAAAAATTATGTTTAGAGATTTATTAACTAAAACTTGGAAGCCAGGTAAAATCATCAATAAATACAATACGCCCAGATCATATGTTTTTAGTGATGACACAGGTAATAATAAACGAAGAAATATTGTACATTTAAGGCCTGCCGGTAAACAGCTCAGGTATAATTTGTACAAAGATAATAATATTGTTTCGAAGCCTAGTTGGATACGTAAGCGACGTGTTGTACCTCCAACTAAGCTTAATTTATAATTTGTATTATGTATTATTTCACATTTGTAAGCTTAATTTATAATTTGTATTATGTATTATTTCACTTTTGTAAACTTAATCTATAGGTAATCTGTTTTGTTTATATATAAAAAGGGAGATGTTACATAGCTAATAGCTATGATACCTACCTACCTGCTATCTACAATAACGGTTACGTAATTATGATGTATTATCGCGTGTATCGCTATCGGTATTTTAGACACAATAAAATCAGTATGCTTTTGGCACTCGAGTTCAGTACACATATTTTCACCTACACTCCTTATGTGCAGTTATAATTTTGCGGACAAATTTAATTAAATTAATTTTAATGGTTTCAAAATAGTAATTAAAAGCAAGCAAGGATTAAACACAGCTGTCAATTGTATAAAAATGTTATTACATTTTTACCATGATGTGTATGTAATGGAACAACCAAATTTTGATGGCAAGAAATATTTTAAAAAACTTTGGGTTGAACATATAGGTACTGTTAGAAATATACTCATAAAATTTGCAACTCATTGATTAAAATTATACAAGGTTCACTTTATTGTAATATGAAATAACTTTACTACAAACACTTCATGACTCAGGTTCAGTTAACCATATATACGCAAGGGCACAAGTGTCAGCATCCGACACTGAACCACTCTCATGGGCACTATCCCACAGCACTGACTGACTGGCCGTCGTCACCACTGGTCACCCTCTTATTACTAATGCAGTGTTAATACCCTACCCTGCGTATAACATAATATTACAATAGCAACATGACAACATGTATCAAGATTATGAATAACATATATAACATTCGGGCGTCCTGACCCTTAAGTGTCCTCGCTTAAGTGAACACTTTACATTTTAATTACATCCTTAATATTTAATTATATCTAACAGTTTACATTTTATCACAAGAATTAGTTAGTGCTTATATCGCACATATCACATATATAGTAACATTTTAAAACAGTTCTTATTTATTTATTTACATCTGGTAAGATGAATGCCAAACTTGTGTTTTCTTTACACGTTTGGATTCTTTGTCTTTTACTTCTTACTGCTTTGATTCTATCTTTTCGGTATTGGGTAAATCTCGTGGTCTGTCTTCTTCATCATGCTTCATGTCTTCTTCATCATGCCCCATTATTGTTGAGTCTTCGTTTGGTTCCTCATTTGCTGGTAGATGATATCCCTTAATATGTGAAACGTGAACGACAGTCACATAACGTTTTCCCGCTTCGACGCGTAGCCCTGCCACTCGATACACATCATTAGGTAGTACCTCAGTCACTACCAGTGGGCCACGGTATTTGAACTGCAATTTTGTTGACTCCCCTGTGGCTTTTTTTGGTCTGCGTATGAACACCACTTCTCCAACCTCATAACTTGTTGGCTTGACATGCTTAGAATCGTACCGTTGTTTCCATTGCTGATGTTCTCTAGATATGCGTTCTCGGATTTTGTTTTGAATCTCTGCTGCAGAGTCCTATACCGGCTATACCTTGTTTGTAGTCACATGCTGCAACACTCCGTCCCTAAAACATGGATAATATCCATATAACACATGAAAAGGTGTATCACCTATTGTTTTGTTATAAGCATTATTCAAATGGCACTCGATGTCAGATATGCGTTTATCCCAGGTCCGATCTGACTCCATAGTTGACTGCATTACCGGAACTAGGGTGCTGTTGACACGTTCCACCTGTCCGTTGGATTGTGGGTGTCTTACCGAGTTCAACGTATGGCGAATACCATATTGTACACAGAATGCTTCGAATGCCTTAGACGTGAAGGCCGTCCCTCGGTCGCTGATAATTCGCCTTGGCGTCCCAAATGACTTTACAAATAACTGTAAGTTAGTCACTGCCCCCTCTGTGCCACAGCTCTTCACTGGATATAGCTTAACATATTTGGTTAAATTGTCAATCAACACTATAATATGACTGTTACCTTTTGTTGACTTCACAAATGGACCAATGTGATCAATTTAGATCACTTCAAACGGTCGTTTACCTGGGGTAATGGAGTGAAGCTCACCGGGCTGTCTTCCTCGGGGGGTTTTAATTAGTATGCACTCAGGACAGCAATTAATGTGCATCTTCACGTATCTGCGCATCATTGGGAAATAGTACTTTTCTTTTATCTTACTGACTGTCCGGTCCACTGCAAAATGACCCGCCAAGTTATGGAACCTTACCACTATACTCTTTCGCATTGACTCAGGTACTACCCATAATAACCTTGTTTCGTTGTCGTCCACCGTCACCTCCCTATATAACATACCATGGTGAAGTTGGTAATCTTTCACTCTTTCAGCTTCGGTTGTTGTATGTTCTGATTCTTCTTGACTAAGGATACTCATGATTGCTTTAAGTTTCACATCTTCCTGCTGCATTGCTATCACCTGATCCTCCTCGGTCATAGCAATAAACACTTCCATGTGCTCGTCTAATAATTCGGTTTCAGTGTCCTGTGACATGCTTGTCGGCGCACGACGTAATATTCGTTGCATCAAACTCGAAAATTCATAGGGTGCGTTGATGAGACCAAAAACCATTCGTTCGAATTGCCCCGACTCACTAGGTGTGATAAACGCAGTTTTCTCTTTAGACGTTTCAGTTAGAGGCACCTGTAGGTAACCGGAGGCAAGATCAAGTTGTAAACAGAGAGTTAAACTCTTGTAAACAAGAGTTGTAAACAACGTTGCTCCATGTAGTGTTTCCAGGTGCTCATCCAGGTTAGGAGTAGGGAAGACTTTTCTCACCGTTTGAGCATTCAACTTTCTATAGTCAACCACAAGTCTTGCGTCGCCATCTTTTTTTGTAACTAACAGTACTGGTGATGCATAAGCTGATTTTGTTTCAGTGACAATGCCCGCCTCCTTCCACTCTTGTACTATGCGACTGATTGTTTTTCGTTCAGATGCGCTGGCTCGGTATGGTTTGCTCATTACTGGTTTTCCATCATCCACAATATCCATCGCAAGAACATCGGTACACCCGAGCTCATTTAAATTAAATGCGAAACACTCACGGTATTGATTTAATAATTGCACTAATCTGTCTACTTCGTCACTGGAAAGTGTCGAACCATACTTCACCATCTCCGCAGTTATGGGGGCCTTTACATCATGGTTGTTTTCAGTAGACTTCCGGCCACCTCGGATAACTCCTACCGATTGATCCCTGCTTAGCCTTATCGCAGTATCTTCTTCGTTGATGAGCATTACCTCTACATCATGGTCACCTGCATTTACCTTTATCATTTTCATACTGTTAGCCGGTATGTTTTCGTTTTCGCCAACCACTCGCACTATTTGTTTACTAGTCGACTCATATGGAACACCTCCCTCCTGATACGGCATCATCATACCGTAGGCAAACTGTAATTAATCCGTTGTTTTGATAAATGTAACATTTTCGCAGTCTGTAAAGGAACGCCCAATTATCATGTCGTATTGTTGGACTTGGTCGTCAACTACCACCAGTGTGATGAGCTCACTCACTTCATCAACATGTATGGTCGCTTGTGTTTTACCATAACTTGCTATTGATTGAACATTTCCGTAGACGTACATGTTTACTGTTTTAGGTCGCACCTCCAGACCATAGGATTTTTCAATAGTCTTTGTTATAATAGTAAAAGCACTACCGGAATCGACTAGACCTCGGACGGTTTTCTTGTTGTCGTTGATACGCACTTCTTTCATGTAATACATGAATTTACTTTTAGTTTGACAACTCACTAAACTCACATCCAGCGTATTGGCTACTTCACAATATTTAGATGTATGTCCCTCCAATTTACACTTAGTGCATTTAAGTGGTCGTCGTGGTTGCGTACAATCAATTGCAATATGTCCGGTCAGTTGACAATTATAACAACGAGGTCCATCATTAGTTTTACGAAACTCTTTCTTAATTGGACAACTCGTAATTGCATTCTGTTTATCCGTACCGACCTTCGGTACACTTGTACTTTTCGCGGCGAGTACTTGTCTACCCGATGTCAACGTATTACGGAAACATTCACCACGAATTAAACTCACTTCGTTGTATTCACGAATATCAACCATCAACTCTTCTTCAAGTACATGTCCATTACTCATTAATGCACTTGACATATCTCGAGAATGTAACCCGACGCAAATCATTGTCTTGGTTTTACTCATGGATAATTTCAACCGGCGACACATCCGCACTTTGTCGTGGAAATAAGCGAAGACCGTTTCATTCTTAAGTTGAACACGCTCGTACATTCTCTTCCATGTTTCTGTTACTTCTTCTGGTGCCATAAACATAGCTTTGAACGATTTAGAGAATTTAGCAAAAGTGTTAAGTTCAACCATGTGACTGAGATACCAGTTCCTCGCTGCTCCCTCTAAATAAGAGCGTCCCGCTTCCAACGTACTCTCATCAGGCCAACCGTTTAACTGCGCGGCGGTTTTCAACGCATTCAACCACTCCGCTGCCGCATCAGTATCACCTGTTTCGCCATTAAACATTGGGATCATTTTCGTCAGATTAGGTAGCATCATCGGTGTCGTCGTTTTCTGGTTGTCCATTAATTTGGTTATTATTTGCTCCATCTGCTGCTCACGCAGTCTGTTCTGTTCGAACATTACGCGCACGAAGTCAGCCATATCACCCTGTACAGGCGAACTGTTTGGATTTGCACCGGTTTCATTTCCCATATCTCTTGTTTGTTTACCTCCACTATGATACGGTGATAAGAGATAACGGGAACCGCAGTTACCAAGGTACACAACGATCACGACTATGGTTATCGTTAACCTCACAACAAATATTTGAGGTTATGTTCGAACTTAAAAAAAAATGTGGCACAAACCACGTTTTACTTACAATAAAGAAAATAATTCAAAACGAACGAAACTTATACACACAAGAGTTAACGCTATAACAGCATAGGCGCGATTTGGGGGGTGCTTGGGGGTGCTTAGCACCCCCAAATTTTTGATAGCATCATCGAATTTTTATTGAATATAAAATTATGCCATAGGTATTTGGATGCAATTATTTCTAAAACACCTATTCATAATAATAATGAATAATGATACATAAGTATCAGAATAATAATATAAGTAAAAGTTTATTTATTTGTATTAAGATTAATGAGAAGGTGTATAAAATAAAGTTGTATGAATGGAAGGGGATGTGTGGGGCAAACCCCATTTATTTCGATATAAATCTAGCACCCCCATAAGTTCAACCCAAATTGCGCCTATGTAAAACAGTACCTATTTAAATCTACAACAATGTATATAGAATTGTAAGGCTTAAACCATATAAGTAATTAGGTAGTTACTTACAATAATTCCATCGTGATTCGTGCTGAATGATGAATGCCCGAAGTTTAAAACAACGTTGGTCTAAAATGCACACACTACTAGAGTCAAATATGATGACGAAAAGAACAACCAATACGTTCTACAACAACTAAAAAGCGCCAAGCACCGGTTAATGATTACTGAACACCAACCATAGTTAAGTCCTTAAGTCCTATACTATAAAATGACAAGGAAATCAGCTATAGTGTACCAATGGAAAGGAAAACGCAGGCTATAGTGAAACCGTGGCGTAAAAAATGAAACACCGATCCGTTTCCACAGCCCGCCGGCATATAAGCAATGACAAATTATATAGGTATGTCAGCAATATTACGGATTTAGAAACAAATCGCGCACCCACCCTCCGCCCAGCCCTTTACTGTGACGTAAGCATTTCTCCGGTTCTCATTGGTCCACCGCCGTCACTGCCGCAATAGCCGCCGCCGCCGAAGACTCCACCACCACTCCACCGCTCAACCTGTTGGAGAAATACTTACGTCACAGACATGCGTATCACGAGTTGCTGACATACCTATTTATTTTGTCATGATATAAGCATTGATTTCCAAAAAAAATATATATAATATAAAAATTACTATACATTAGTTATAAATTTATTTATTTTATACAGCATTGTAAAAAATGTAGGTACCTTATTATTATATTAATAAACTTTCAATATTTAAAATGGTATTATACATAAATTATTGTTTCTTATTGATAAATTAAAACTGTTATTGATTCTTACAGAAAGGTTTAATGGGTTGTATAAAAATGTATAACAACCATACACATAGGATCAACACAGCAGAAAGCCTTAGATATTTACCAGCTAATAATGATGTAAAAAACTTATTTTATGAGTATTTTGACAATGGTATGGGCATAGCTGAAGCTCAAAAATATCACGAACCGTCGACCTCCATTAGGAGAAAATACTACAGTAAAAAAAAAAAAACGAAACCTGGATTGAACATAAACTTAAACCAAACAAATGCTATAATAAGTCATGGACCTTTTTAAAGTTTTAATATTCAATATTAATATATTATGTATATTTTTTTATAGATTGAAGACATAAATTTTTAATTCACATTTTAAAATATTTTAACTATTAAATTTTTATAAATATTTTAACTATTATAATATGTATACATTTTAGATTCTGAACGAAGTGATGAATATATTGATTTTATAATGATGTGTTTTTTCATATTATATTATATATCATTTACATATATTTCAATTATTTTTTATTTTTAGTTACCATAACCAACCTAACCTAGCCATAACCAACCTTAAGGGTCTTAAATACATAACAACATTTTAACAACATTATAATATATTAATTATTAAATATTTTAATAAATAATTAATAAATAAATAATTTTTTTTTTGGAAATACAATTTTCGTGATAACAGATAATTGTTAGCGAAGTCGTTATCTCATTGGGACTAGAGCCAATCGTAGGACTGTATTTCCTTTGGGTTCTCTAACAATGTACACTATGCTTATATGCAGCCCGCCGGCCATATCCCGTCGATTCCTTATAGCGCGACCAATCGCGTACCTTCGCAGCGGCGGCAGTCGGTTTTAAAACGTTTTTCGTTATCACCTCTTTTCCTATCATTTCGCCGATTTTTGAAATGTTCGGAAAATTAGCTGTTTTTACACGATTTCGACCCTTTTCGTCCTTTTTTATACTTAATTCGAAGCCGCCGGTGTGCGGTTTATATTCGTGCGCCGTCCGAAGCGGTCGCAATGTCGATCGAAAAATACACTCCCGACCGGACTTTTTTGCCGATTTTTTCCTTTTCTCCCACCGTTTCGTCTATTCGCACGCCGTTTGTGCCCGAATCGTGTAGTCGACGTCTTTTTAAAGCCGTTTTTATGGGCTTTTCCCCTGAAATCGGTTCGTTCGCCTCGCAATCGCGTTTAGAAATTACGCCGGCGACCGACCGACCGTACGCGTATATATACATATATTTACGTGTATAATTTAATTTTTCCCTATGATGTAATAACTATTAACGGAAAACGCTTTTCACACGCCCCGTTAAATATATATATATATATGGGAGATGCGCGTACTACACGCGAATTACATCGATGTACATCGAATATATCGGTTTACGTCGCTCCGTAGACGCACGGCTTAAGTGTTGATGTTTTGACTCAAAATTCATCAACTCATCAGACAGGCGTTTGGTAGGAAACACTTAGGTCCCGGGTTCGAATCCGTCGTACGCTATCCGGGCGTCGTTGCCGTCATTGCCATATGGTTTACACGGCCGCCCGGAACTTGACTTTTTTGCATTTTTTTTTCACTATATTTTTCATATAAATTAAATAATAATATAATAATACAGGAACATATTATCGTACATTATTATTATTTAAAGTCATTGTCATATTATATCACACAATAAATAGGTACATATTATATTTGTTTAATTAGGAATTATTATAATTGCATATTTTTTAAAATGTCCATGATTGTTATATAAATATTGTTTGTATTTTATTTCGGATTGCCTACCTAGGTGGCTAACTTGAAATTTAGTCTTGATTTTGACTTGAGATAACTGACTTGCTAGACACTCCAACACGGTTTTCGACTTTACACTTTTTACATAAGAAAAGGCACCGGACATGCGAAGGCACATACCACTCTATGTGATATACCTACTATATGTAGGTAGGTGATAGACGGATTGCTCATTTTGGTTTCGTCTTAAACGGTGATGATTGACTTGCTATATGTTAATTATTTTAAAAATTATAATTGCACATTTCTCAAAATGTTCATTGTTATATTATATCACACAATAAATACATATCATATTTGTTTGTATGTATATTGTATATAGTTTGAACTTTTCGTAAATTATTTTGTAAGTTGTGTGATAGGGTTTTCACTTATATCCGCTTGACGTCGGGTCTGCATTGTCTACTTGATTTGCTATAGCACATTGTCCGCGATCCAACAAAGTCGGATTGCCTACCTAAGTGGCTAACTTGAAAGTTAATAGATTTTGACTTGACTTGACTGACTTGCTAGAAACTCCAACACGGTTTTCGACCTTACACTTTCTACATAAGATAAAGTACCGGTCATGCTACGGCACATACCACTCTATGTGCAGGTATACTCTATATAGGTGATCCTAGAGATCGTATCCAGCCTATCCATTTACAACGTTTGTGACGGATTGCTATACTCTCAAACTTTTAACATTCCCGCCAAAGCGTCTAGCCTTATCTCCAATCCATATCACTAATCCTTATCACAAATCCTAAACTTTCGTCTTACAACCTTTGCGACTTTTATAATTCATTGTCTCCAAAATCGGTACCCACTCCCAGCGAGTCCGACGGGCCCCGAGTTACACTTAGAGCTAGTATAATATAATATACACTGACGTACACAATAACACTATAACCATTAAGGCTCGGACACACAGAACGCGGTCTGCGATATTTTCCCGCGGCGGTAAGGCGGTAAAGATGTAATACGTAGTATCGCATTATTCCAGTCCCACAGAGGGCGTTAATCTGTCGGGCTACAGCCCATTTGCGCCCCAGAGTAGCACATTTGCGCCCCGAGGGATGGGGACAGATGCGCCCGAAAGATAAGGTACTTCCTGCCGATGTATAGCCCATATGCGCCCATTTTACATACAGTGTTGCCGTTGTGATTCATAAAATGGATTATTTATATCTCGATAGATACTTAGATTAAGTAGATTAGTAGATTATAGTACTTTAATAATAATTATCTAAATAATACAGCTTAAATTGAATAATTTATTTAAAAAATAAAAGAATACTTAATTTAATATTTAATTTCACAATTTCACACTAATTTTTAATTACTGTAGTCAAATTTACCTCACATAAAATGGTATAAATAAAATAAAATAAAATATATAACATATTATAGTTAAGTAGATACATGCAATCATTATAAAAATGAATGCTGGTTATTTTACGCATAATTAAAAAATATATAAATAGTAAATATTTAATTATAAATCAATCCCTCTAAATTTATAAGCAATTTTTTTTCAAATATTGTACTCTCGTTAAATTTTTTATTTCGTATTCGGTCCAAGTTGTACATGCAAATTCTATACGTTGCTTCTCTTCATTTCGTCTAGGTTTCACTGTGCCTTTATTTACTTATACTATACTACTGTATAAGTGTAACGTACAAATTAAAAATAGTTAAAACTGATAAATAATATGTACAATAGTTATAAAGTAATACAATCTGGCAACGTTGCACGGTTTTAACGCATTTTTATTAAAAAATTTTCGGGCGCAAATAGGTTATAAAAAAGGT